TTGGAATCGCGGTGATGGAAAATCTCGGCGATTTTTCTCGACGCTTCTCGAAAGTTTCGGTTTATAGCGATTTCACTAAACGGTTAGCACGGCGATTTTACGAAGCGCGACTATGACTCTAAGAACTCTAAGAACTTTTTGGAAGTAAGAAGGAGGACGGCGAGATCGAAGCATTTATTGCTTTCGGCCTGAGCTTTCCCTTTTGGGAAAAATCCAATAAAAATTTGCCACAATCGTAATTATTACGTGGCATTAGGTGTACAAAATTGATTGGCGCTTTGGATTCTTTTCTAGCGACGTTCAACGTAACAGTCATGCGCGACAGAAAATCCGTGCGTGGGATTGGTGACAGCGCGTGACGTATTCGTCGGAGCGCGGCGCTCGCGTGCGCGAATTGAATTGTTCTAGAACCTTCGATTGTCCGTTGCCGGTAACGACAACTTGTTTGCGTGTAACGAATTGTTTTTAAAAAGAACAAAGAACGACGAATTTGATGATTTTAACGAGGATTAAAATCATGTTTGAGATGAAATCACGAGCTCAATTTGTGCATGCGTTCAATGACAATTAATGTCGATCGACTGAAAGAATTCTTGCTTTCCTTTCGAATTACCGATCTCAAACAATAGGATATATACCCAGCAGATAAAACTATATCCAAAGCAGAAATGTCCCAAGCCAAATTTTACCTCTGTCTGTTTTATTTGCAATATAAACTGTAAAATCTAATTGAAATAAATAATTTAATAAGCGTTAAATATATGCTACTATTCTAGACAATTCGGACACTTGCATAAATTTTATCAAACAGATAAGTAAATTTTAAACATTATTTTAAAACATCAATTATGATACTTTGTCGCAGATATCAAAAAGCAATCCTATTCCTTACATTTACTGACATTTTTTTACTTCAATATGGGTTTTCCCGATCCCCTGGAAGACAGCTAGAAGTCATGCTCCTAAAGATGCCAAACAAACCGGAATTAGCCCCATCCTCCTACAGATCAATCTGCTTGCTCTGTAAGCAGATTAATTTCTTGAAGCGGGTGGTCTGTGGAAGGACATAGACACACTTGAATGAGATACCGGGGATATCTTGAAGCGTCAGTACGGATTCCGGTTTCACAGATCGACGTTTGACGCGATCTGGCAGGTTCATGGAAGGATTGAAGAATGAGGGTGTTGGGATATCCATCGATATAGCCAACGTCTTTAACTTCCTTCCCTGGCCAGTCATTAGGAAGGCGTTGAAAAGGAAGAGTGGAAGAGGACATACCGGGGTACCTCTGATCCATTGTGGGGAGTCATCTCTCAGAAAGGTTTCTCACGTATGTGGATCGTGAGAGACTTCACATGCGCGAGAAGAAAACAAGAGGAGTTCTAAGAGTTCAGTCCTAGGACCGACCCTGTGGAACATACGATTCGGTGTTGCGAACGGCGATGCCGATAGGGTGCTCCGTTGATTGCTATGCGGATGATACTCTGCTGGTATGTGAACGGAGCGTCCCTGGGTGAAGCGCGGATCCGGACCGAACTGGAGGCGGTATGCCTTCAGGGCAAAAGAAAGATTGGAACTGAAAGTCTTCGCCTCCAAAACAGAGGTGATGGCCTTCATGTCGAAGAACACCTTATGGCCACGACTCTTTGGTTGAAGGGGAGGAGGAGGGCGGTGGGATCCGCCATGTATCTCTGATTAACTCTGAACTCGCGGTAGACCTTCCAGGACTACTTCTCCTTCCGAAGGCTTGGTGAATGGCCGTGGCACTGGCCCGTATAACGGCCAACATTGGGAAACCAGAAGAGCGGGGCCGAGTGGTAGCCCTATCAGTCAATGTTCAATGTTAATTGGCCCTTGTCGCGGAATAGCAGCAATTCCGAAGAGCAAATAAGAAACAGTCATTATGAAAGGGCCCTGATATAGGCGCAAACTGTAGTAAGACAGGATCATAATCAAGGACGTGGCGAAATTCCAACGCCACCTCGCGTTGAGGTTATCGAACGATATCGCATGAGGCAACCGCGATCCTAACTAGGTTCATGCCGTTCGGTATTGTCGCGGATAAGTATAAGCGAATATATCGTCAATGCGAGATATTGTGTAGGGATGAGGCCCTAGAGCCGCGGACAAAATCCCTCATTTATGAGGATGAACAGAAGAGGGCCATCCTAAAGTGAAAGGAACACCTATAGAGGCTTTCACCCGGCGCTCTCGGGGTCATAGAAGAGATATGGGGATGATTGAAGGAATGGATGCGTGTGTGTGCGCGCGGGCGTGTGTGTTGTTTGTGTAAACATGGATGTGGAGTTAGTAGTAGTAAATGTTATAGATAAGCAAAAACGATCCTTTTTGCTTCAATATTGAATAACTCGGTGAACAAAATTATATCGAGGTCTATAAAAAAATAAATTAAAGGTAAAAATTCACTCTTTCGAAAGCTGTAAATTTCATTTGTGCTCAATTTTTAATTGAGTTTATGCATCATTATTTATGTTTGTGTAACTTTATGAAATATTAGTAGTATCATTTTTTGATGTACCGATCTGAAAAGTAGAAATTTCAAGCTTTATAATACTTTTTTAAAAATTTCGATACAATGATTTTTCACTGAGTTAATGCTATTCGAAAATATTAAAAATTTGTGAAAAAACTTAGTGGCCAGATTTTTTTTTACGTGTAGTGTATACAGTCGATAGTAAAATTGATAGTATAATAATAAAAGTATGATAGTATAATAATAAAAGTATGATAGTATAATAATAAAAGTATGATAGTATAATAATAAAAGTATGATAGTATAATAATAAAAGTATGATAGTATAATAATAAAAGTATGATAGTATAATAATAAAAGTATGATAGTATAATAATAAAAGTATGATAGTATAATAATAAAAGTATGATAGTATAATAATAAAAGTATGATAGTATAATAATAAAATACGTATTAATGGTATGAAATAACTTTCCAAAATTCGCTTTTGTTGAACATAAAATAAAAAATAATTGTTAAGGTTTTTTCTAGCTT